TCAAGGCTGGAGGGAGATACAAATGTCGCGCTGTGATCTGCGGCAACTTGGCATCACCGGAAGCGGATCCCATGCCTTCCTCTCTGCTGTATGCCAGTGGAGCGGACGGGGTTCTGATAAGGTGTGCATTGCGAAAGGCAGCTCATCACCAATGGGATGTAGCCACGACGGACATCAAGACCGCTTTTCTACTGGCTCCTCGGCCGGTGGAACAAGGTGCCAAAACCGTGGCGGTGATGCCGCCCAGGATCATGACTGATTTTGGGATTACCCAACCGGATGAGGTCTGGCTTGTCGACAAGGCCCTGTATGGGTTTCAATCCAGTCCTGCCCATTGGGCAGTGTACCGCGACCAAACAATGCGGCGGTTCACATGGCAGGGAGATGCAAGCTCGGGGGAGATGCAGAAGGAGTACAAGCTGGAACAAACGCCGGAAGGAAACTTGTGGAGAATCCTGTGTAAAGGTGGTGACGCTCCGGGAGAAGAAGTACGTCCTGATGGATATCGGCAAGTGGGTTTTGTGGTCGTCTATGTGGACGATCTTATGGTGCTTGCGGAACCTCACGCCAAACACAGCTTCTTGAAGAGGCTGAAGGAAGAATGGACTTGCTCCACTCCTGAAGAAGTTGATCACAAAGGCCGGGTTCGATTTTGTGGGTTCGAGCTCCAATGGAGCGGTCAAGGGGATCACAAGAAGTTGAAGGTGGGACAGCAGTCCTACACTCGGGATCTGTTGAATCGACATCAAGTAGAACACCCAAGACCGGTTCCGATGACGAAAGCGGATGCCGAACTTCCGGAAGAAGAACAACCAGCACTTGAAAACATCTGACCAGCTCAAACGGTGGTGGGCGAGTTGTTGTGGTTGTCCATAAGGACAAGGCCGGATATCAGTTTCGCCGTCAGCCAATTGGGAAGGCAGGTGAACAAACGGCCCAAATGGGTGGTGAAAACCGCACAGCAGGTGTTTGGTTACCTGAAGGGAACCGAAACTCAGCATCTCAGCTATGGGGTTTGCACAAGTGATGATGGTGGTCCCGAAGATGATCTGCCATTTCACCGGGAGATGCAGCAAGTCGAAATGCTCTCGGACATTTCATTTGCCCCTGCGGGCGAAAGATCACTGCAGGGTATCCTAGGTTTTTATGGTGGAGGGTTGGTTCAATGGGAAGCCAGCCGTCAAGCTTTTGTGGTGTTGAGCACCGCCGAAGGGGAACTGATGTCCTACTTGGAATCCATGGTCATGGGAGACTCTCTGGCGTCTCTCATAGAGGTCGTGGAAGGACGGAAAATCGGGCAGAAAATCATCTACGGAGACAACACGGCTGCAATAGCCATCTTGGAAAATCCTGACGGTCCGTGGAGGACTCGGCACTTGCGGTTGCGAGCAACAGCCCTAAGGGAGAGGTTAAAGGATGGTAGTTGGATCATCCGTCACCTTCCAGGGGTAAAACTTGTGGCCGATTTCCTGACGAAGATCATCGCTGTGAAGCCCAGTTGGGAAAGGTTCTGGAGGTTCGTCAATCACCAAGGTTCCGGGGTTCCAAATGAGGAACCATCAATGGGGTCCAACCGTCGTGAAGAACAACCTCTGGGAGAAGAACAACGTCCAGAAGAACCAGACCAGGAGACTCCCTCCTGGGACAACTACCGAGATATCGCTGGTCGGTGCGTATCAGTGGTGAAAAAGGTGGTTGGTCTGGCCGAGGAATATCCAGAACTAGCCGATTTCCGGCATGAAGCCCTGAGCACTGCCATTGGGAGGCTGGTGCAGGTACTGGCTGATGCGTATCGCGTCACTGAATCCGTGGTCAAGGATCGGTTCCAGTTGGAGTCGGTCTTACCGTTTTTGGAGAAGAAGAACATTCCTGGACAAGTTGAACACCCTGTAGAAGAAGAACCTAGGGGTATCCTAAAACGGGGGAATAGATCCAAAAGGGGTAACTCAAAACCAAAAAGGGTTCATTTTTGGGATGAAAATCCACCAATTTTGAAAGTTTTGCGGGTACAAGATCACCACGGTCATGTTACCCAATTGCACAGTTCTGGAAAAGAAGAACCCATCCCTAAGACCATCCTGGGTGATGGACAAGAGAAACATTGGGACTTGGATCTTGCCAGGTCCAATCGAAAAGAACATCGAGCTGCTGAAGATGTACCAAGGTCGGGTCCCACAGAAACGAGGGATCAGGTAGCAGTTCGAGGGATGGAATTTTTGGGGAGTGTGGTTAAGATAGGTGAAATACAACTTCATGGTAAACCCTCAAAAGGGATAGCTCCGAAACCAATGGGAACTCAAGGCGATCAGAAGGAAAAAGAAGCCCGGATCCTATTGCAAGTGGGAACCGAAAAAGAAAGAGAAAAAGAAGAACCAAAAAGGAATAGATCGCACGGAAAAGTACATCGGTGGCTGAGGAAAAAGATCATCAAGACCCAGGGAAAAGATCATTAGCTGCCGGTGGAAAAGATCAATACAGGGAAAAGCTCATCAGCTGCTGGACCCAAAGAACACCGTTGGGCGCTCTTCGAGTGCGGCGCTGGTGAGAGAGGGAATTCAAAAAACCTACGAAGTTAGGGCTGTAGTTTTTCAATTTTTGGAGTCAACCCGAAGTGGAACTCCACGCGACCCTTGGATGAAGGGGGAACCAACACCAGCCTGGGACTATGGCACACGAGGGTCTTCGCCCTTCTGGCTGGGGGAAGGGCGAGTTCCCAGAGGAAACGTGGCCACCCCTGAAGCTTTTGTTTTTGGTGTTGGGGAACCTGGATTCCTGCAAGCAGGAAGGGGGAGTGCGGTTTGGGAAACATGCACAGAGTACCACTGCACCCCCACTAAGGTCTTTTTAAAGTTTTCACAGTCGTTGAGACGTCCTCCGACTGTTGCAACTTTGGCTCAAGCCATTCAATTGGCTCAAGGGCCAATCAACTGACTGGCTCAATTTACCGAGCCCAACTTGGAGTGAAAAGGTGCACTTGCATCTGCCTCTTGGTGGGGACCTCCGGGAAGGGTCTCGGTCATAGTCTGAAACCCGTGGTTCCAAATCACCATGACATTTGGTGTCTGGAACAAAGTGCCAGAGGAAATGGATGGACATTGCAATTCCGAGGTATGGACGTATGCATGCATTTTTGAGGCCATGTTGATCCATTTTTGGATGGTTACCAGTAACCATCATTCCAGTGATGTCGCAATAGTTTGTCCAAATACATGTATATATGCGAACAAAATGATGGATCAAACGCATATGGCGCGGCAGAAATGAGAGTAGAGCCCTGCAGTCATGCACAATGGCCACTCACTAGAGTCACTACATAAGCTGCAATTATTTCCGGGCATCAAATGCAATTGAAATCATTGTTGTAGTTTGTAGTAGGCTTATAGACTATTAAATAGTTTGACCAAATTGAACACTGCAATACTTTGGAATGAATATTGGATTGAAACGCATGTATTATTTTTTTAATCAAAAAACAAACCCGTCAATCCCAACAGGATCACAGGATGATGGGATGTTCGCTGGGCACAGTAGCAGTAGCAAAAACCACAGTGTAAAGCTGCTACCGATGTAACGAAGTGAATCTAAAGAGGCTATGAATCAAAAGTCCAAACCTAGAAACCTGCTTAACGCCAAAATAGCTGATAAATGGGTATGCACCTCTACCACATATGGTATATATAAATGGGTATTGTTTCATCCCCATATGTCTGGATATGGGTCGTAAAGTTTGACATACCCCGTGGAGTCATCAAGCATGGCTGACTGGAAAATAATCTATAAATGGTGGGTTTGGAGAGGGAAAATCATCGAACTGTATGGTGGATTTTCAATTGCCACGTTTGATTACTGGAGGGTTCAACTTAAATATATTATAGTTTAAAAAAATGTTTGATTCCGGCAAATAGAACCTCAAAATTGGAAACTGCAATTGTGAAATTCAAAACAAACAAACATAAACAGTACATATATACCCTCTGGTAAATTAACATAGACTCTGGCAGTCATTGGGGTTGGAAGACTAGTTTCCATTAGAATTGGCTATTTTCAGGGTCCAACTATCAATCCATAGCCGCTTAGCCACAGTCCGTATCTAAAAAAATGACCCTGATTTATGTTGATTTCTGTGGCCAATATTTATGAATCTGGCAATATTTATGGTAATATTTATGGTAATATTTCTGACCAATGATTTATTGCCCTAATATATACTCTATAGCCAATATTTATGGATCAACTTTTCCGAACCCACCCCCCAAAAGTTTCAAGAGAAGTGGCCGACACGACCTTGGATAAGGACCTGTGGATGGCTGAGAATCAATCCACTGGCAAAGGTGGGGGTTTAAGCAGCTGGAAATGGGGTGCGGAAAATCATGATCTTTAGTGATGTTTAGTATATAGGTAAATCATCTATAAATGGAACATTTATGAACATTTATGAACATCGCAATGCTAAAATTACATAAAATTACCAAAGAGTACCCAATGAACCGAGATAAAAACAGGAAACAAAAAGGCTGACGTCAGGTCAGCACTTTTTGTTTGATCTCATTTTGCTGCGACGACCTCGATTCGATAGAAGATTGCTGGGTGATTTGATCCATTCGATTCCCCTAATCCATCCCTAATCCAAAGCAAAACTCTCGGTGACGTCGCGACATGGCTATGGTCCGCGTAGATCCGTGCTCTAAAACCCCAAATGGATTAGTTTTAAGATTAGTTAATGGGGCACCCCAAATCAGGAATTTTGGAAAATCATGTTTAACATACAAAGAAGAGCTCCCCGGCCCAGTTATAAGTTGGTATATAAACCCATCCAGTTCAGCTATATCTACCACCCAAAAATATAATCCAGATTAAGTTATTGTAACAAAATTTTAACTATAAACTATTCACAAGACATCACAAGACTATATCAAAACATCAAAAGGATAGAAAAGTACAATTCCACAAAAATGGTGATAACTTGCATCTTTCCGTTACTTTAGTTGTGGTTCCTGTACCTTCATGGGTACGGAAAAAATGCGCCTTCTCCAACCATGCAGTGCAGGCCAAATTGCCTGGGCCATTTTTTTGGTGAGAAACCTCTTGAATTTCACATGGAAGCTATATATTATCATATATTTATAGCAAATTTCAAACGCGGAAAATCTTTGTTCAAACTCAATACCTTTATTTTGTGGGGTACCAACCTCAATTTGATTTGGGGGTGGTCGGAGGGAATTGCCTGCAACGAATTTACCAGCCAAATTTGTCTTGGGCCCTGAAAAATGGTCGCCCATTCTGGTCTGTGCATGCAGAACATACTTGATTTGGCAGGAACAACTATGGATAATTCGGATACCCTCTGGTAAACTAACATAGCTATGGAAAAACACCATTTTAAATAGGTAAATCAACTATAAATGGGCCATGTTCAATAGCTCTGTTAGTTTACCGGAGGGTAAATGCGATGAACATGTGATAGAAACCGAGTCTGCGCCTGACGTCCCTAAAGTTGACATGTCACGCACCGGGTTCCCCAGGTGTGCCACGTCGAACACACGCTGATCGTCTTCAAGGAACCCAGTTGATGAAAAAAATCTTGCGCTTGTCCGGCCAAACAACCGGAACAACCCCAGGGGCAAAGAAGCCGCTGAAGCCGTGAACTCCTTTTTTTGCTATACATGCTACACGACGAACAAAACGAGCCCTGCCATTCCCCGCAGCATTGACCCTGACCGTGCATCCCCATTTCGGAAAGGCATTTCTTGTCACGGCCAACTCATGGCAGGATCGTCATGGTTGGTTTGATACCACGAGTTAATACAATTTATGTTACCCCTCCAGTAAACTATAACACAGACCCTGTCAGGTAGTGGTTGGAAGATTCGTTTTCACTAAAAGCGGGATATGCTCATGGTCTATGATAGTTCATGTTGATTTACCACAGGGTCACTCCAAACAAAAACAAATGTTAAAACATGTTAAAACCAACAAGAAATCAAGAATATTTAAAACATACCAAACTTGGTAAACCTTTAAAACATAGTAATAAGCAATAACATGACAAAACAAAAAAGTTCCCTCCAGAATCACGATTTCGTACAGCTCGAGCTCGTCTCAGGACTCCTTTCTCTAATTGGACAATCATCGCACTCTGTGGTGAATTATATAATGATGGTAAAGTGGTAAAACCACTGATAAACCATCCGCAATATCAGCAGAAATGGGTGGTTGTACAACCATCCCAAATGGTAGGTTTATGGGATTAGGTTTACCACATTAGCTGGTTCAAAAAGCTAGGCTAACTGAGCTCTATGGTGGATAGGATGCGTATAAAAAAGCACGTCTACAAGTCAGCACCAAAATTGCTTAACCCAATCCAGGAAAATCGGATAAACCACTGTTTTATATAGGTTTTATCGAGGACCGATCGCAGAAACTCATTGCGATCAATTTGTGCCTCCTGTGGGATGATCCCAAACACCACCGGCCATCGGTTGCCCAATGATCAAGAGGATCAACACTGGATTGACAGTCACCAAGTTATAGTTAAATGATCTGGTTGATATTTCTCCATATATCATACTATACTATCTGGTTTTCACTGGATATCAACAATTCAAAGTAGTTAATAAACGATACTTATAACTAGGATATGATTGATATCAATCCTTAAACCCCAAGAGTTCGCCAAGCGAAGTGCGGTTCACCCCCATGACCCGTGGTGCCAAGTGGTGCCAAGTGGCCTAGGATCACCAAAAAGAGTCGGAGTCGCAGTTTCCGCGGCATGGCGGGACAGTACCTGGGAGCATCGAAGTTGAGGAATTTCCAGGCCATGACCAAAGAAAACGCCCATTGCTTTAAAAATTCCTGCATGAAAATCATAGAGCTTCCAGTGATTATTGCAACAATACCCAAGTAGATCAAGAGTAAAGCAAATTAAACAACGTAAACCTGCAACTGGTCATCAAACAACCACTAATTCTGGATGACATCACCAAACGTTGATGCTGAGAAAACCACCCTGGATGATGACGTCAAGTCTCTATTGAAAAAACATCACCAACCAGCAAAGAAATATGTTTTTTTATAGTTGATAGTTGATTAGTTGATCTCTTTTTGGTGTTCAAGACCATGAATCAATTCACAATGTTTCATAGAATTCTATTGTTTCCTCTTAACACATGTTTGGCAGATCCCTCTTAGCCATTCCTATGATCTTCCGAATGCAGCATGGTGTGACCAGCGATGGGATGCAGCCTGGGGCCCCAAATGCCCCAAAGGCTTGGGTCTATGGCAACACCTACGCCCTGCGCGATGCAAAAGGGTGCCTACGCGAAACCTACGTGTTCCAGCTCGTGCTCAACAATCTCTTTTTTGTGTCAAAGCTTAAGAAATATTAAAGAGTTCCATGGCCATCAGTTGTATATGGATTTGTCAAAAAACGGGTGACATATCACGAAAATGATAGTGATCAAACATAATCATAGGGAAATATTACAGATATTTTTCATTAGATTTGTTATAAAGAATTTCAGGATATGTTCTGGGATATCCCAATAGGATGTTTCTCCAGAATTATAAATATAGTTCAGGATATGTTCTGGGATATCCCAATATGATGTTTTGTTTCTCAAGAACCGGAATCTGTGTGATTTTTAGTAGGAAACTGGGGATCAATTAATATCATGGGAAATTCAGGGGTACCTCTTTTTCAGACAAACCCACTCAAATCCAAGTACCCTCTGGTAAACTAACATAACCATGGAAAATCACCATTTTCAATGGGTAAATCCACTATAAATGGTCATGTTCAATAGCTATGTTAAATTACCAGAGGCTAAGCTTGATCAAATCCTATATTTAATCCTTTCCCAATGAACAGGTCAGATTTTTTTATCTCACATCTGGACGTGAAGTATCCCTAAAACGCTGTTGTGATGATTCAAAGAATAGATCTACGCTGATAGGTCCTATCAAGTCCGCTGATGCTTGCTGGTGTCAACTCATCCCAAAAACGAAAAGCATGGGAATCATCATCTCGGATAGGATGAATTGCCAAAGGCACAGTAGAGATAGACAAACACATAATTATAGATAGGTAGGAAGGTAGATTCAGGTAGATAGATTGGATGGATGGATAAATACATAGATAGACTTGAACCATGTCGAAACCATCCATCTGTCCCTATATGTTTAACAAAATAAATTTATGCATGTATTTTCATATGCATATACAAGATATACTGTTACATGCAAATCAATCCACATGTAAACCCCTAAATATATGTACATACAAATAAATCAAAACAATAACACACACATATAAAATGGATGTCACAAGTAGTCATATATTCATTGTATCAACGCACTAAAAGTTTGATTTATTGTAGATTGTGCATGTATACAGTATACCCTCTGGCTATTTAACATAGCCATGGAACATGGCACATTTATAGATGATTTTCACAGCTAGAAACCTCCATTGATAAAGAATGTTCCATAGCTATGTTGCCATCACGCCAAGCTGCTCGTGCCGCGTCCAGGGATCAGAGTCGGTGATGTCCTGGCAAATACCATGGCTATCATTGCTATATTAATAGTGGCTGATAGTACTGAAATACGGTGGAAGAGATCCTGCACCAGTTGAAAACGGTGGTAAACATCCCATTGTTTAGGATGGGTTTCAATCATCCAAGGTGATGCAGGATTTCGCATTTCGCAACGATCCACAGTATGATGTAAGACGATGTAATATGATTTATCCCATAATGGTGTATATATATATTATAGATATCAAATAGATATCTAGATACTATAGATATTAAATTTAGATACCATCGCGATTTCGACAATGGCTATTGTAATAGCTATCTATCTACCTATTTATGGTATATATCATGCGATGTCTCTGGGTATAGGGGGGTAATCCGTATACAGCAACCGGCGAAAGGTCAAACTCGCAACGTCAGCCACTTGTCGTGTAATTGATGGCTTCGGGTTACAAACGCAAAGGAAGATCAGCTCGCCCCTTCCCACTGCACGTTCTTGCCACCCTTGTGATCCTTATGTCGAAAATCAGATATGCTTCTGACAGCAGGAGAACTACTCTTCTTAGTCTGGCTACCGAGCAGAAAACTGCATCAAACTTGGCACGGGCAGTTGCAATTGCTGCAAGTCTCTTCAGCAATAGCTCCTAGTTTGTGTACCTACGATTCATTGGACTGTTGCAACTGGGACTTCTGCTATTGTTGGGACTTAACTGCTATCCAATTCTACTAATCAAACGTAGAAGTAGAATTGTTGCAACTGCTATTCAACGTGCCATACTGTTCCTACCATTCAAGGCCCCCACCAGTAGGACCAGAAGGCCCCCAGGTCCTCAAAGACCAGCTTGAAGAGCCGAGTCAAACCTCGCGTCGTTGCGCCGCACCAGGAGATTTCTGAAGTGATATATGTGATATCTATTGATATCTTAATAAATATTAACGTAATATATGTACATATATGTAATATAATATATATATATATATAATATACTAAGATTTAATCAATGAGTCATTTGTCCAAAAGTGAGCGATTACATCATTCTCTGGCAGCAAGGATGGTAACATGATGACAACACCTCCATCTGGATCCATATCTTGAGGGAACACACATAGCTTGGCTGACGTGGGTGTCCCTACGGATTACACCAATCCAATGTCAGCCAGCTAGTAGCAGCTAGTAAAACCCTGATAATTACTGATCAACTGCATCTTTACTGGCTCACATGATCTTCCGAAGTGGTTATCTTCGTAGACTGTTGGTGGTACAACGATCTCAAGGGAATGGACTGAACCCTTTCGCAGCTGAAATACATGGTCTAATCAAATCATTGGTTTATGGCTTACAATATTTTCTTTAAATCACACCCACATGTTTGTTGTTTTCATCTGAACGCGCAGCAATGGACCTGCGCGGGACATCACAAAACGTCATGTTGGGTATGAGCACATCCATGTCGTTGCGGTCATTCATTTTCGCTTTAAACCAACCATATTCAAATCTAACCATCCATTGTTGGAGTGGCTTTTGCTCAATCCATTTTGGAGCCTCTATGACATTAACTCATCCATTCGCCGAGTTTGGAGCCGCCAATCCATGACACCACAGCGAGACACTACTGGGACCACTGAGCATCAGCAAAGTGAGGAAACCAAAGCTGATCGTCACCAACGCCTCGGCAGCGCCTTTGGTTTAGCTCGCTGAGGGTTGGAAAACCCAGGAATATACAATTCGCATCAATTCGCTATATCATGTTGTATTTCCCATAAACCATAGCTAACGGTGTGATAAGTCAAGTTAGCTAGCCTCACCTGGGGATGGGTCAAAACCCTGGTACCTAGTGAACCCCAAAATAGCTGGTAAATGGATGTTCATTCCCCTAAAAAAGGTATTAATAGGTATTGATCCATACCCACCTTGTAGTACTGCCCTCTGGAAATTCAACAGCCATGGATATTCTCTGTTTTTTTTACAGATAAATCATCGGAGGGGTAGAATTCACCAGAAAGATTAGGGGTTACCCTATTCTAACTCATACTACCCACTTCACTGGGCGTAATGTAATAACCAGCATCAGGATCCAGTCATCAGGTTCCAGCAAAACTAGGAATACAAACTGATAATGATGGGCCATTGGGAAATAGATGGGCCATTGTTGGCATTTCATAGTCCTGGAAGACCTTGCTCGATGTGACCCTGGCATTTATGTTCTGCACATTCTTCAGGCTGGCCTGCTTGGGGTCCAAGTCCCAGGCCCACACTTTGTGGGAAGTAAAGTAGACTGCCAGCAGCATGATCCACTTCTTTGGCTTGGACGGAAGAATGGACTTCAGGTCCCATCCGATCACCTCGCCTGCCTGGTGGGGAGTGGGTAGGTGCCGTGGCTGGGCGCATACACCGTCTCTGCTTGTATTGAGCCGACACTGGTCGCAGCGGTCCACCAAGAACTGGGCATCCAGGGGGATGAGTGGCCAGACAATGCCCGACTGCTTCAATGCAGAGACAATGCCGTCCCTTCCGCCGAAGTGGGAGAGGTCAGTGCGCGCGGCCCGCAGATAGCCAAGCTTTTGTTGAGCTGAGATGCCTGAGGTATCCAGCTTGGGCGCCGCCGTGTGCCAATTTTTGCGGCCCTTGAGACCATACATAGCCTGACACGTCTTTGTGGACACTGACGCGAGAGCAAGTTCAGGAGCACCTAGAATGTAGCGTTCACAGTCAGCTTTGCTGGCATCCTGAGGCCATGCTGGTGTGGATCCGCTGTTAGCATCTGCGCTTGTGGGCGCCGTCTGGTTGGCCGTGGCAAAAGCTTCTCGCCTTTCTCGAACTTTCCGGTCGGAGCAACTGATGCACTGCGAGCCTGTCTTCCCCGGCATCTCCCACTGGGTAGTGCTAAAGCTCTCTGAAATTTGTGTACATAAATTCCAAAACTCTGAAAAAATGTTTAAGCTCTCTGAAGCTATTCAAAACTCTGTAAGGCTCTTCGAAACTCTTTAAAGTTCTCTTTAAAAACTCTTTCAATTACTTAAAAACGATTTAAAATACTTTACCAAATATAAACAAATAAAACAAACTATAGAATTGTTAAGTTGTGATTGCTAACTCATGTTCATTCTATCATTGGGATTGGACACCGCATTGCAAAAAATGAAGTCTACCAGTAGAGTCTACTTTACAATTTTGGAGCTGCATATGTTTTAAGTGTGGAACCTCTGGGGCGCCCCAAAATGAGCAGTTCACCGGCTTATTCAGAGGTGTGACCCCAACCTCTAACAGCCTTTAAATTGTTAAAGTGGATACCTGGATACCTTTTGGGGATGCCAACATAACCATCCGGAACGGGGTCACTAATAAGGAAGGTTCAAGAGGGAGGTCCTATGGGTATTGTTGGCGAGCTGGTGATCGTCACTGGCTTATATCCATGTATATATGTATATATCTGGGTAAATTGTAATATATTTCACTGACCTGAATAGTTCCAGGTTTCGATCGCCGTGAGGTTGCTATATTAATATATATATATATATATAATTACATATATATATACAAATATATACATATGTGTGTGTCCATCTATTCTCACTAGTCTCCATATATATATACGGCAAATGCCTGGGCTTTGCCCGGAACCGCAATCACGACAGGCAACGCATCATCATCATCATCATTATCATCATCATCATCAACATCATCATCACCATCATCATCATCATCACCATCATCATCATCATCACCATCATCATCATCAAACCCTTACTTAAGATCTTCAAAGAATGTAGAAGTTTAACCGGAGTTGGAGAATTAAACCCTTATCGAAGATCTTCAAGGAATGTAGAAGTTTAATCGGAGTTGGAGAATTAAACCCTTATCGAAGATCTTCAAGGAATGTAGAAGTTTAACGGGGGTGGGAGAAGTAAACCCTTGTCGAAGATCTTCAAGGAATGTAGAAGTTTAACAGGGGTTGGACAATTAAAGCCTTATTGAAGATCTTCAATGAATGTAGAAATTTAACCGGAGTTGGAGAATTAAACCCTTATTGAATATCTATAAAGAATGCAGAAGTTCAACGGGGGTTGGAGAAGTAAACCCTTATTGAAGATCTTCAATGAATGCAGAAGTTCAACGGGGGTTGGAGAAGTAAACCCTTATCGAAGATCTTCAAGGAATGTAGAAGTTCAACGGGGGTGGGAGAATTAAACCCTTATTTAAGATCTTCAATGAATGTAGAAGTTTAACAGGGGTGGGAGAGATAAACCCTTATTGAAGATCTTCAATGAATGTAGAAGTTCAACGGGGGTCGGAGAATTAAACCCTTATTGAAGATCTTCAATGAATGTAAAGTTTATCGGTGGTGGGACTCTAATATTCCATAATACCTTTGTTGATCTTTCCAATTGAATGTAGAGTTTAACGGTGATGGGACTCTAATATTCCCTAATACCTTCGTTGATCTTCCCAATTGAATGTAGTTTAACGGGGGTGGGATTTTATATTCCCTAATACCTTTGTTGATCTTCCCGATGGAATGCAGAGTTGCAACAACATTTGATTGGGAATGGGGACCCTCTACGCTGCAACGCCTGGGCAAAGCCCAGGGGTTGCGCGTCTTTATTAAACCATAGGAATATCAATATATCCAAACATAGCTGTGTTTGGGGAGAATCTACTCCAAAACACCAGTTGACTAGCGTCACCGTAAAGTGGGAGCTTGTGGCAGAACCAACACTTGGAAAGTACACTTCCATATATCATATGTCGACACTAGATTATTGGTGTTAGATATATTTCATCATGTTGCCAACACATTTATTCCGAATAATTCATGAAAACAATATGATACCGGATCAACATTACCGCAGATTTCAGGGTCTTCCAAACAAACAGCATCAACATTTAGGGTTTTTCAGAGGTGTTCACATCAAAACGCATCAGATTTGAGGGCTTTTCACAACGTATTCATCAACCTTCCTGGCCCTTGGCCCATGGTCCGTCAGCGCCCACTGAGGCTCCAACCATCAGCACCTCAAAGGCCGATGTGTCGGACCCAATACTGTGCGTAAGAAAAATATTAATATGTATCAATACATACGTATTAATACATATACATATGCATGTTAATACGTACATAGTTGCATAGACATAGAAAAGGCCATGTACTGTAATCTATGTATGAATGTGTGTATATATGTACGTATGTATGCATTTACAATCATTTACAGCATTTACATGTGTGCATATGTATACATATATATATATATATATTGATACATAGGACCATACACATAATCATATGTATATATATATATATAGTACAGTGTTGTTTGTGTATTGTCGGTTCATGCGTGCAAAATGTATTGTATACACAATAGCATATCAATAATCATACATATTCAACACTTATTCATTTATGTGTATGTTGTTCATCTGTGCAATATGTATTTGTATACGGTATACTAATATACTTATACTTATATATATATATATGTAGCATTTGTGTCACCAAGTCATACTGAAATTAGTTGACCTTTTCACTTTTCCAAAGATCTAAAACTGTCATCCTTTGCCAAGCATTCAGATCAAGATTTCCAGGGCTCCAGTGAGCTGACCAACTGTTGACCAACTAAAAATTCCCACTTGAGCCATGCAAAATGGCTCATTCCGAATTCCCCCTTAATTAAAGGTTGTAACCATCAACCCCTCAGAAATCAGGTAGGTTAGCAATGCTTTAAAATACCCAATCAACTATCATTCATCTATGACATTCCCAAACTTTTGGTCGTCAAAACATAGCCGATTGATGGTGATAAACAGGGGTATTATAAACCAATTTATGGTTATAAGTTATAAACCTCTATATTCACCAATTGATGGTTAAAATGATGGTTATAAACCTCTATATTCACCAATTGATGGTGATAAACCTCTATCTTCACCAATCAACAGGGCTATTTTCAATGGCTCACTAAACGGCGCCAAACGAGGGGCCAAGTTGGTATACCACGGCAAGCGAAAGACGTCGCCAAAGGAGTAGACCACGGCGGACCAGAAGAGCTGAAAGGTGTACCTGGGCGCAGTTGCGCCGTCAGGTGCCCCCGTCGTTATGTTTGCTGGTTGAGTTATTAGGCACCTAATTTGTGGTTACGGTATGTTAGATGACCTTTTATTTTTGATCAGCCATCTAACTATTAACATCCATCAACTAAAATTATTGACTATAGTTACAAGAGCTATATGATTTAATGACTATGAAGGCTAGTTGGTTTTGCTGCAAACCAACTTAGCTAACTTTGTGGATACCACCTGATGGAGCTGGAAAACGTAGACATTCGATCCACTGCTTGGGGTCACTAAAGTGAATGTATCAACATTGGGTATGTTTATATATATATATATACATATGTTTTTGTCACATAACATTGGCAAAACATGGTATACGATGGGGATATATGTGGATATCATTCACACATGGCGAGATGGAAATACCATTCAACAGGGACTTTTTTTGGACCAAACCCTTGAGTTTCCAGGGTCAACTGAGCATTTGCTGGCGCTGCTGCAGCCAGTGCCACGGCTGCATGAGCCTCTGCTGCTAACTTCTCTTGGTCTGTCTGTTCTTTTTCTTTCATCGTGGCTCCGCTCACTCGTCGGCGCCTGTCGCCTTCTTCATCTTCTTCGTTTCATTCTTGATTTCAGGAAGATCTTGATCGATCCAACGAGCCATTTCAGCGTCAGCCGCTTCGGCCTCTTCTCTCAACCTCCTGGCCTCGTTCTTCTCAGCCTGCTTCAATAATGCAAGCCTTTCCCAGTAACCCAGCTTTTTTTGCGGCGCCGTTGTTCGCCTTTGGTTCTCCTCATCCTTCTGGCCGGCATCGCCAGGTCCTTCCTCCACTTGCGTTAAATTAAGCAAATCTCAGAAGAGGCTATTCCACTTCCAATTTTCCGCTCTGCGTGTCTTCCACTTCCAAAGCTTGGCTTCATTGCCTACTGGTAATCTAAAAAATACCCAGCAAAAAAAAAAGTGTTTATGGGGAATATCACTTTATAACTATAGTTCATCGGTTTATACACTAGTTTATTCTTTTGCGGAGGCTCACTTCGTATGTGCTCCAGATGTTTTCCACCGCGTGACGTGAAGAAGAGCGTGGTGACTTCCCAGTTTTGGTTCAGCTTCCACCACTGGGTGATGCGAACTTTCTCGACCTCGAGGGGCGGCGCAAAGGAGTCCTAGTGGATAGGATGTAATGGGGATATAATGGGAACAAGCATTTGTGTGTAGCATATTTCTTCATGTCAAAATGTGGATTTAACTGTACCTATGGGAATTTATGGGAATCAAAGTGTGTATATTCTGATAGGAATAGAAGTATGTATGTATTTACAGTATATTTATTCATAGGAATACGATAGGTATATACTGGGAGTATCCTGTGAGACATACTCAAAAAGTGGGTTCAACTATTACACAATGGGCATATCATGGGGTATGAAATCCAACCATATCGGAAAATGATGGATAGTATAAACACATTCACACAATATGTCAATATTTGTTTTTACAATCCGTGTATATATATATATGTATATATACATGAATACATATATATATGTATAATTATGTCTATATATATATACACATGCTGGAAATAAAACCAAACCAAACATACATATACTATGAAATTGTCTGGAAAATGGGAACAAAGCAACCATACAATAATCCAGGACACCATTGTCCCATTAAACTTGCCATACCTTGGGGTATTCTGCATTTCTGAACAAACCATTTTTGGCAGTTCATAGCTGGATCCGTTTGGGAAAATTGCCTCAAATGTTGACCGAACGATAATGCCGGAAGGACTATTAATATCGTTATCCGGAAATGCCAAAACATGAGCAGAACTGAAGGTCTTGGGAAGTCACCCAGGTTGAGGCACTTGTTTTTTTGATGAGGAAACCTCATAGCCAGGAGTTCTTGACAAAGGATGGAACTTGCTAATCTGGCTAATCTTTGCTAAACTTAAATACCCAGCAAAATATATCCAACAATGCATAGTTGTTGCTTGTCAAGATCCGAATGCTTAGCAAATCAATACCAAGAATACGTCAGATTCGACCAATTCACCCAAAGGTCTCAGCAAAATACAGGGTAAATGCCCCGCCGTCCTGAACCATCCGAAAATCGAGTGGTTTGAAACTTGCGGAGTTGTCGAAACCTACTCTTATTACTAATTATTACCATATATTTTGGGGACTGGACATCCATTAAAATAGATTCTATGCCGTCTTTTTTCGGGTACCGGGTGCTTTCGGATTATTCCCCAAAGCTCGCAGAGTTTTTGTTCGAGTCCCAGTGGCTGGGAAGGGCACGTAGTCCTCGTGCGCCGTGATGATGCCCCAGTTGATTTCCAGGAACATGGTGTTCAACACCACCATGCCCAGAATCGACACCACCTAAGGGCGTAACGAAATTTCTCAAATCGTAGCTGCTAAGTTAGAACTAAGTCATATAAAACTAAAAACTGATATAAGTATTGTGTAAGTCTAAAAAAAACTGACTATAATTTATAATATAACATATAATTTCAGTTAAACTAGCACATAACTATAATGTAACTAGGGCTTACGGCAGTTACTGGTAGTTGGTGTGGTCTATACACTCATCCATCAACTTTCCACTGGTTGCGAACTACCTCTTTGGATTGGTTGTTTCCGGCATTAACTGCCTAAAAATTCAGGTGAACAAGTACGAAGGTTGATGTCGTTGATTTGTTACTTGGATTTGTTCAGAAAGGTGGTATGTGTATCTAAATGTGTATATATATATATGCCATGATTCTTCAAAAAAACACGATGATAAACCGTTTTTTTCCAGACACACCCGGGTCATTCAGCCTCCAAATTTGACATGGAAACTGGAAAAACAAGGATTCCTCAAGATGATCGTGAAGATGACCCAATGTGTCCATGCGACCCAATGACTAGGGAGTGTAAACACAGTTGTCTTTGTATACGACGATTGGGTGGACAAAAAATGATTGTTGGGCACACTGTGCTGGCACTGTTCATAATTAAGTACCTGTCAATGGTTCGGGGTCAGGGTGAGGGTTTGCACACATCGGCGTCCAACATGACTTCAAGATACTTCAAGCAGCCACCCAAGTCAAACCTGTTAGTCAAAAGTCAAACTTACAACATAGGGTCAACTAAAAAAATACATCAGCATAGACCAATTATTGACATAACTGCCCCACAGTTGTAAGTCAGTTTACAATATCATCAACCTATATAAAGGTGTTTTATAATACATATACATATACATATACATATACAAATACATATACATTTTCATATTCAGACGTATATATATATATATATATATGTAAATTTATATAATTGTATTTACATACCAACTAGATTCATCAAATATAATAGTTAGTAGTTGGCCTACTGGCTGGTTCACCAGACAGTTGTAAAGCAACCAGCTGGGGCGACCTAACCCACCTGCAATTCCTGGGGCGAATCACCGAGTAGGCTAATGATGTTTTTTGCTGATAGATAAATATATATATATGTGTATATGTATATATTTATCTATGTTTGCATGTATGCATATCTATCTATCTATCTATATATCTATCTATATATCTATCTATCTATCTATCTATCTATATATATATGAATATATATATTTGATGAGGTTATACATGTTCCAACCATTTCGAACCCAACTAACGTAGCTGCTTTGGGTCGCCGAGTTCTCCCACTCGAGCAAAATCCGAGATTTCTTTCTCGCAGCCAAGTCACCGTGAAGCCCGAAAAAAGACTAGAGGTGGGCCTCAGGGAGTTGGATGAACTGCTGCAGAGTTGCTAAAAAACATGGGAAGACAAGATCCGCATTATAAACCATGGGTCTTAGAGGTTTTTGGATGGATACGTTTGCACAGGGTTCGATCTCTCTAAAGAATGGATGAATCTGGGAAAACCCTGTCAAGGCGAGTATGACCGTCCCCTAAGGTGTATGTTAAATACCCATGTCCAAGAGGTTGTGCCTGGATACCGTACCTTGGAAAACCGTGGAACATCTTGGAACCCCATTTTATCCTGCAAGAATCACCAGCTTTAGATTATATCATAATATCATCCCTCTTCTGTATGGGTTGAATACCCCATGTTTGTTGCTTAAGTCCCAAATGTTGACACAGTTTTGGCCCTTTACCAGTTATAAGTTATAAGTACTTATAACCCCATTTATAGAATGTATAAGCTCATTTATAAACAGTTATTTTAATAAATGGCCATAACTGTAATTTTCCTGCTTCACTGCCGGCCAAATCCCCAGCACGGACCGGCCCAGCGATGCCCAGCGGCCGGTTGTTGGCCAAGATGGGCGCAGGCCGCGCCAAACTAATGGCCCAGCTGAGGCTCAGAAAGCCCAACAGATCCTGGCTGATCATCCCATTGTGGCAACGGTTGAAAAAGCCATGTAAGATGGGGAAGTATCATGGGAAAATATCATGTAAGTCATGTGGAAATATCATGGGATAATATTTTTTGGAATGGTGTTGGAAACAATTCTTGGATGTTTTTATGACAAGATGAATGGGGCGCATCCCTGCCACACATATATTTACATATATATATACACAGTATATACATGATTATACATTACACATGTATGCAATATTTATATATCCATCTCCCTACTTACTTGGAACAAAGGTACCCAACACATATCAAAACATACCTTCATCATATTTTCCCGTAAGCATTTCCGTATATGAGGTATGTGGGAAAAACAACCGAAACATGGTGGGTTAGAACATTAGAATCGCATAGGTACTGTCAAACCCACAAGGCAGAGTAGCTAAACTTCACTCCGTCGCATCCGTGGGCAAACCTTGGACTCCGCTGACGGCTGTTGCCTTCCAAAAAGCTACATCAACTTCGCCTTGCAGCTGACCCTCAAGTGCCCTGGTATACTGTCTGTCCAGTACGGTAAACCCCGGTTTCAGGGTTGGATCACACGTGCTCACAGGCTCAGACAGGTGTGTTGTTGCCAAGTGTTGGGCCAATGGCGAGAAACTTTCGGACCAAATGGGTCCGGTCGGCTGGAAACTCTCATCATTGCCCCCAATGTGCATGAATGTCGATTCGGGCTCCACGAAGACACAACAGTTGGTTCGGAAAGGGTGGTAGCTGCGCCTCATCCAGCTGCGATGTGCCACACGTAGCGCATGAACCGGTGGCTGGATGGAGCACCATACGACAGCCCTTGCCTCGTGAATGCCGGCATTTCAGAAAGAATCTCAAAACACAAAAGTCAAAGAAAATGACTGATAGATAGAAGGTCAAAAGGATGCTTTCATGGATGAATAGATATCTATATTATATTATATTTATTATGTTCATGGTCAAAAGGAAAGCAAAACCCCCAACAGCACGCTCCCCCATGAAATCTTCATCTCATGGCGGCCAGGTTTGCCATCTGGTGACGATGTTTGTAGCAGAATATGTCTCAAATCGAACAAACAATTGGGTGGGTCTCAGGTGTACAATACGGAAGTTGCATTAGTTTAAAAAGTAGTAATTGCTACAATCCCATGTCACATTAAAAATCGATCATTTTTGGAGTGTTTGCAGCATTTCTGGACAGGCAAGGAGTAAAATCCACTAGCCTACAAAACAAAGATACCCTCCTAGTAATCAAAATCCAGCATTTACACATGATTTCCCATTAAAACCTTGTAGAGGATCTTTCAATTGCCAGGTTTCATTACCCAAGGGTAACTATAATCATTACTATCCATTATTGTGTCATTATTGAATGTCATTATATCCCATTATCATCCCTATTAAACCATATTAAGCATGATTAAACCATATTAAGCGTTGTTAAACCATACTAAGCAATGTTAACCATATTAAGCATTATTAAACCATACTAAGCATGATTAAACCATATCAAACCATGGTAACCCCAGTATTTCTGCATCACAACCCGTGGTCCGTGTTCCGCCCTTACACCATCTCCTGGAAATAGGCGGTGGTCATCGCCTGTGCCACACCTTGGTCTCTGCACGGAATCCTATGGGGAAATAGGACAAAAACCCTCTGGATCCCTCTGGGGAAACTATCCCGAAATAGTAGGGGTAACTATCCCACAATGAACCAACTGTTTAGATTTTTGTACATTACCCTCTGGTAAACCATTTTGCGAACAGGAACATCACCATTTTTCATGGGAAAATACATTATTTCTATCACCATTTTCAATAGCTATGTGAAATTACCAGGGGGTATTCGTATGGATGCTTTCATGGATGAACAGATATCTATATTATATTTTGTTATTATGTTCATGGTTGTGAATCACGGATATCTTTGTTCGCAATTTTTGGAGATGTTTTACCGCCGGAACATAACCAGCACTCTGCGAATCTAAAGAGAGTTGTTAAAAGACGTATGTATGTATGTACGTACGTACGTACGTACGTACGTATGCATATGTATGTATCTATGTATCTATGTATCTATGTATCTATGTATGCATGTATGCATGTATGCATGCATGCATGTATGCATGTATGCATGTAGGCATGTACGCGTGTATGTATGCATGTATGCATGTATGCATGTATGCATGTATGCATGTATGCATGTATGCATGTACGAGTGTACGCGTGTATGCATGTATGCATGTATGCATGTATGCATGTATGCATGTATGCATGTAGGCATGTACGCGTGTATGCATGTATGCATGTATGCATGTATGCATGTATGCATGTATGCATGTACGCGTGCATGCATGTATGCATGTATGCATGTATGCATGTATGCATGTATGCATGTATGCATGTATGCATGTGTGCATGTATGCATGTATGCATGTATGCATGTATGCATGTATGCATGTATGCATGCATGCATGCATGCATGTATGTATGTATGCATGGATGTATGTATGTATGTATGTATGTATATACATATACGTATATAATACATCATGATGTGATAATATGTGACATATGTATATATGGTCTCAGGTTTCCCCCTAATTTCTTTGTTTTTACTATATTTTTCTTTACACGCCTAATATCATCGTCGTTTCCCGTGACGTAAAACTCTTCTAAGGTGCCGTACCAGTAGGTCTTGAACTTCAACACCGAGTTCAAGAGACCACAGTGGATACCTTAGCCCAGCACATCAATGATAGATCATCTTTTTCATAGGCTGGACCATGTGGAAATAGATGGAAACCATGTGGAAATAGATGGAAACCATGTGGAAATAGATGGAAATAGTGTATCTAAGAAATGTTGGAACATAAAGTATCTCTATAGTATTACTGTATATTATGTATCCCAAACAAATTCCAGGGGGATAAAAAAGTGTTTTTTGAACATTCATCCCATGATCTGACGATTTAACATAGACACCGAACCAGTCAGCAATCTATGGTTGCTTTGCTGGGATGCTGAGCAGCTGGCCGTGTAACATGTTCTACATTGTTATATCGCTATCCATATTTAAGAGCCTTTTTAACAAAAGGATTAATTACTGTTATCCTAGTTATCCTCATAACAGACCAACCCCAGACACAGGGTGACCGATTGCGAAAGCCAAAACACAGATCCAACCGAAACGAACCATCATAAATTCATCTGGTTGATGGTATACCTACCCCTCCAAAAAATATGAGTTCGTCAGTTGGGATCATTTTTCCCAACTGAATGGAAAAACATAAAATTCCTGTTCCAAACCACCAACCAGTATATCTATATCTGTCAATGGATTTAAATGGTATATAATCAACCATAAATGGAATATAATATAATCTGGTTATTTAACATAGCCATGGAAAATCACAATTTTTAATAGGTAAACCCAGGTAAACCATCTATAAATGGGCCATTTTCCATGGCTACGTTAAATAACCAGAGGGTATGTAATTAGTAGATGCCCTTGAAAACTTGC